TTCATACGATTGTACAGAGAGCAGACAGGAAGCGACCAGTCTCGGTCTCGTAACTCTGTCGCCTGCCTCGGTCGCTTGTCTCTGTCGCGTGCAGCCAAATTGTACCTAAAGTTATGGCTCATTAGCGACAAGCTCGTAACTCCACACAGCAATTTACTTCTTACAAAGCCAAGAGTGGCTCAAGACAGTCAACAGAGTCCATATGTTGTTCTCCAGAAGACGCATTACGGTCTCGTCACATTTGTCCGAGTCCGTCTGACCAGTTGATTCAAGTCCAGAACCAGATTTGGATTAAATTTGATGCGGAGGTTCTGCTATTCTACAAGACCTGGAAAACGTATTGGAATATCCTATGAGAGCTGATAAAACGACAGATGAGGAAAATCGTGAGGTTGGAAGTGGTGCTGGGATATGGCAGACGAAGTGGGAACTGTCGAATAAGGCGGATTTAATACTTCTAAATGCACGTTGCAAAGAAAGCAATGTCCCCACATTACGGTCGCTTAATACCGCAAAAAAGAATTCAAACTCACCAAACACAAGCAACAATTGACAGCCGTTAACTCCACATTCTGTGGTTGTGAAGACGTCATCACGAGAGACCATCTGCACACAGAACCATCACTCCTCTGCAGACACTAGTACAATACTGCGACGAATGATCGATATCAACGCATAGCCACACAACGATAACAATTAATCACGTGACATCAGGAAAGATATAACAGGCTCACTGTTAGCTGAGATAATGAAAGACTCTTCACTTATGGAACAAAAATTACTTTCATTACGCCATGTTTCTGTTAGATATTTTCGCTAAAGTAAAAGTGATAAGCATATAAATAAATATTCGCTGATTTTCGATAACGAGAAACGTTGCCCCGAATGGGGTTCATCTCCGTAACTACTTAAATGTCGATGATATTTATTTGTGTGGAGTATGGATCACTAAAATCTGTTAAGACGAAATTAATTTGGTTCATGCGTGTCGAACACTCATATAAAACTCAA